CGGAACAACTTCATGGAGATCGGATGAATAGTTTAGGAATGCACAAAGGACAGACAGACATACATTCATTTTTATATATATAGATTTGAATAGATTATCTATGCTCCTTCTTTGGTATCAGTCGATTGTACTATATTTCAATCTGGTATAGATTACATTTAACTCTCCTTGTTTCGTTAATAATCCATTTGAAATTCTGTTCATTTGAATTAAAAGGGCAATGTCCAAACTAGGAAACTTGTGAAATGAACTGCACTGAAAAAAGAAAATCAGAATAGGTTATACATGAAATGCTAAAAGAACCTGTATCTTGCAACCATTAGCCATTGAGACTAGCTTACACAATAGGACATTTCCACCTTGAATTATAATTTATATCCGTGATATATCAGGGTTGAACAGCACGCAGCCATCCATATTTTATCTTGCGGTCCTTCAAAGATTTTACTTATTGATTTTTCATAACTGCTATTACATGATCCATTTAAAAAATAAATGTTGCTCATCATTGCTTTAGATCAGGGAGTCACCAAACTACGGCACTCCGGCTCGTGAAAGTGTCTTTGATTACATGTTACAATTTTAACTATTTAAAAACTACGAAGTTAAGTAAATCACTCCAACAGAAGTTTTCTACAGTATTTATTACATGAGATGTTTCTCTTGGTGGACCTTTGCTCTAGATAGTCAAAGGATGATATTAGAAGTCAATAATGATAATCATTTAGAAAATTGAGCCAACATGACCATTTTTAAAATTATGCTGTTAGTTTAGCTCATTATGAATTTTAGAGCTGAATACAAGATGATACATTAAAGAATTAAAAACGATATCTTTACTAATTGTGCTCTGATGTCGATGAAACTTTTTTCATTTTTTAGTAAATTTAAATACCTTTGGAACATCTAATTATAAAAATCACAACAAATTGTATACTTTTTGAGTTATTCAGGAGTCTGCTTTTACCAACCCTCGTAACATTTTTCTTCGTTGATGTGTATAGATATAGACAAAGTTTGAGGGGTTTAAAAATTAGCCAAGTTTTAGTGAAATGGGTACATTCGTTGAGGCGCTACGTTCTAACCAACCCAGGTTTTTCTGCCGCCATCTTGAAAAGAAAGAGCAGATAGTATTTCGAGGTAGGAGGATATCATCGTCGCGTGACCTCTGACTGATTCTAAATCTGAAAAATATGTAATATATTATTACAAAAAATTTAATATAAGAAAAATCAATTTTGTTATTTTCATTTCTATTTCATATTAGTTTACTCAGTCTTAAAATTCTGAAAACTTATACAACTCGAGGTTTAGAAAAACCAAACAAGTTGCTAATGGAGCATTTTAAATATTCTAGCAATAAAAAATCCCATTTTTTCCTGAAATGTCGCATATATGTTCTTTCAAAGCTTAACGAACATTATGTTTTATGTAAATATTCCATCGCTTCAATGTTGGCTAATTCAATCAAAGTAAGTTATAAAATTAATTAATTTTCTAAAAAAAACCAAGTCTAATTATGATAGTCCAATCTGTTGTGAGCTTATTTTTATAAAGGAAATTACTTATTATGATTGTATCAGGCAAGTGATTACTTAACAAAACGTCCGGCCTTCTGGGGTTCGCGTGCTGTGGTTACACTTGTTATTTTTAATTGTTGCTAATAATGTATTCACAACTGCTAACGTACCCGGTACATTGTTAACCGCTAACAGATGTATTATCGTGTTTGTCCTGATATAGGGAAGTAATTTAATGTAATAAATTAAATTTTATATTTTTATTCGTTAATTTTCTGTTATTTTCATGCTTATCATTTATTCTTATTTATTCTTATCTAATTTCGATATTCGATATTATTATACTAGGTATTTTATTTGTTGCCATATCTGTATGAGAAAATTATCTATATCTATCCGTATTCCATTGCAATCGGTTGTTATTAAATCACACTTTTTAAGGATAACTTTATGTAACAACATTATTTTTTAAGAACATTAAAAAAAAAAAAAAATCAATCCTTACCATTCTCCAAATATTAATTATGGTCTGTGGGCTTGGATAACAATACTTCTTACACCTGATCTTCTCTCTCTTTTATACCTTACCTGTCCATTGCTGGCATACGAAGATGAGAGTTGTCCTACAGTGAATCTGTCCCGAAATAAATTCCAACCCGTCCCGGCCGGATTCGTACCGACGCACAGTGTGACGAGTAAAGTAAAACTCGCGAGTTCTAAAAAAAAATCAGATTTATTCCATGTCCCGGTGTTTTTCTTGCTTGTCTCACTGTGCGACTCCGCTTGACCCAAGATCGTTAAAACTACGATGCCTCTGCATTATCTACCTAGTACGTTAAGTAACAAGTACCTTTTAATAATTCGATTTCCTATTTCTGACACCGAATTTCTCGAAAAAATTCTCTCTTGTACATCTTTTTAAGGTCACCGATTGGGTAGGTGGTACTTAATTAGCATGCTATAAAACTTTAAGCGATAATACCGAGGGGAAAAAAAAGAAGAAAATTGCGGTGAAAGGGATGTAAAACAATGGGAGAACAATTTGATGTACAACAAGGAAAAATAACATGGAGCAAACTAATCTCAAACTTATCTTCGAAAATTTAAAATAAGACCGTGGATTAGCTTTTTAAAAAAAATGATAAAATAAGGAGTAAGGGAATATAAAAGATAAAGCTCCCTGATGAAAGGCGAATCTAATAAATCTGGTTTAATATAGCTGGCCTGGGGTTTACCTTCCATACTAGCTCTAATTCCAAATGAACTTCCAAAATGAGATCCCTCTCCTTTGTCTTCGCCGATGGAGCATCCGCCCAAATCTCTTTTTGTCCCTTTTGCTCTTCTAATTGATATTTTTATTACACTTTCTCCTCTTTTTGTATGTTGTTGAATAGTTGTTTTTTCGTGGTTTTGATGTTTTTGCAATAATTACTTGCAGCCAAATGCAATCGAGAATGAATATTGGATATTGACTGGATCATCCTTGTCTTCCATTGCTCTTTTAGGCTAAGAAAGTTTCTGGTGAACTCTACACAGCTTGGGTCTTTGCGCTTCTTTAATCTGTTATTTTTCTAAATATTGTAACAGGTTTTTGGATTGTTTGCTATGAGAAACTAGTATTATTATTTACTGCGGAGTCGTATAAAACGTGGCAAGTGGCCAGTTATACATTGAAAATAACACACATAGTAGTAGTGTGTCCTTCATTATCGCATAATCGGGAACTCATTTCAACAACCTCATCTCTTCTTTGGTTCCAGTTAGAGCTTTACTCGGCTTCAATTTAATTTTTAATACTGTTAAAATTGTGTGTTCCCTGCGATTTCTCAAAGCTGGATTCAGAATATCCTAGTTTGTTATTAATTTTTAAAGCTTGTGAATATCACTAAAATAAGCATAAAGTCAGTAAAGAGAAATAATGTTATAAAAGTCCTCAAAACAAAGCAATGAGTTTCCAAAATACAAGTGGATAGTTAACTTGCTAACGTGTGTTGCCCACTTAGGCATAATCAAGGCAGGAAAAACATTATTGCAGTAGACATCCCACGAAGCCATCCAAATACATATTGATTTTTTTTTTTTAAGTTATTTCTATTTATCTTTTCACATGTATTACGTCAAGTCAGCTGTTAATATAACCTTCCTTACCTATTATTATACAACCTTCTCTCTTCTTCAATATTTTTCAGTATGTACCTTCGTGAGATGTCTATTGCAGTAACATTTTTTCTTTACTTTTTGTTTTTTTCTTTCTTTACGAATGTGATCTTGGTTTTTCTGCCCTGATGATACCTGAATTGTCGAAACGTTGACAGATTAACTATTCACTTGTATGCTGGAGACTCGTGGCTTTGTTTTGTGGATTTTTCCTTTTATAACTTCTGAATATCGATTACTTCCAGAGTAACCTGCTTAGCAAGCAGCCATAGAATCCACGTATTCACTACCAACTGTAACAGGTATACCGATCATCGATTGAAATTTTATAAGAGAGAGATTTTTGTACCCGTGACTTGATGTTATTAGTCATCATCAAATGTTTGTTAGCCTAAATGTCAATAAGTTAATACATTTTTTAATTTCTACTTATTTTATTTAAAGAGGAATAGAAAAAGTGATGTATTTTTTTCTGTAATAAGGCATCAAAAAGAATAATTAAATTTTAATAAAAGACTACAGTGAAGCTATGTAGGTATTTAAGGTTTTTTTTTTTTTTTTTTTTAGCAAAATTACTTATTAAATTTGTATGTTAAATGAGTCAAATTATTCAGTGAGATCCCATGAGTGTTTTGAAATAATTTGATCTAAGTAAAATTTATTGTAAGTATTCTCCATTTTTCGTTGGTTTTATGTTATATTCTCATAATTATATTGCATAATGCAAATGCACATTTTTTTTATCAAATAATTTAAGGTTTTGGAAAATTGGCTTCCTGAACAATTACAAAATGTGACATGGTGTTCGTCCAGTCCGTTACCTTCGGAGTACAGGTTGAGTAACTAAGAAACAAATTTTGATAGATCAACGTTATGTATATTGGCTCCCCTGGACAAATACAAAAATGGACATGGCGTTTTTCACCTCCTGGGTGCAGAATTAAATTAATCTGTTTCAGATACCGAGCCTTTGCATTATCGCATATGATCACAAACTGAATAGAGAACAAAGAAATAGAATTGAGAATACTATGGGGAAAAAAATTGTGTGCCTTTCACTACACGTTACAGCTCCTGACAGCAGATTTCGTCCCATGGATCGGTGGAGAGTTGTTGAGTTTCGTTCGGGGTTAGAAGGTACCCAATACTAAATAAGTTTAAATATTCATAAACGTAAATTTCACCGACTATGTTCTAATACGTTCCGTCAGGATGGATAGAGTAATTCGTTATCCGTTTTATTTTTATTTTAATAAAATTATTTTGTCATGTAATACAAAACAAATATTATAAAGATATCATTATTCATATTTTTATTTATTATTACTGTTTATTAGAAACTTGGCGACCCTCAACATTATCTACCGTGTGTGGTCTTCCATAACATGATTTAGATCCGGTACAATCTGGTGGGCGGCATGCTCTCAACCATGAGAAGAACTGCAGTTGACTATTGGGCACGTTGGTGTGCAGCGGGCGTGCAATGCGCCTCTGTTGGACGCTCGGATGCACCGCTAACATACTGCCGCGTGTCATAGATATTTCGACAATTTATTGCACCAACTTATGTTTATTGCAGTCTATTGTTTTCTCCTTGCTCCGGCCTCGATGTAATGTTCAAACATTATTAAGAAATTGTTGACACTTACAACTGTTACAAAATATACATTGATTGCGTTATTATAACAAATATAAATACTGCAAAAAGTATTTCTAAATGACTATTAGGATTTAGAACCTTTACTTATAGGATAGGCAAATTAAAATAAATAAATTGCTCTTGTGTCCAATCCCTCCAATCCTAGGTCTTTGATGTTGTTACGTTTTCCATCGATGCCCGCTATGAACAGAGGCTTATTTGTAATGAAAAATGGATATTTACCTTATATATTTATATATAAGGTAAATATAGTATATATAGATATATATATATAAATATATAAATATAGTATATATTTACCCTAACCTGTGCCTTATTTACTTTCCTACCTATACTAGGTAAGGATACTTTCCTACCTATACTAGGTAAGGAAGTATTGCGATTTTCCAATATGCGGTTTTCGACGGATCTATACGTTTCAGAGCCCGAAAAACACATTGTTAACCATTGGTCTGTCTGTCTGTGCCAAGATTTTCTCGGGAACTACTAAACAGATTTTGTTGCTTCTTGTTTTATTTTGTAGGGTTTTGATTACTGATGCCTGTGACAGAAATTCGGTGCTCCATGCGCAATAGCTTGCGCGCAATAAATGAAAAACATGTTTTTCTATAGACTGTAGCGCGAAAACGGCTCTGACGATTTTGATGAAACTTTTGCTATAATGTTCTAATAATTGTCTTTTCAATTTTTCTATATATACTAAATTCTCTAGAAAATTCAGGAAAAAAAGTTATGAAGGAAAGAAAAATGTTTTGGGGCCTAACTCGCTAAGTTTACATTATACGGTAAAATTTATAATAAAACCTTTGAAATGTAATTAAATTACCAACAAAACAAAAAAAAAATCGTTCATTCTGGACAACTATTAAGGAAGTTACAGCTTTTCAGTTTCCAATGTAAGATTATGAGAGAAAAAAATTGACTTAAGTGAAAGTAAGAAAATCTGTTGTCCGCATCACACAATCTTCACTATTTCCTCTACTTTTAACAGAAATTATTGTTTGAATATTAGAGTGTATTGAAATTTTTACTTTAGGCCGGTTTATATTGCTTTAGTTTATCAAACTTTTCGTACTCAAACTTTTCTTTAATCAATTTTCAGGAAAATAAATCTAATTCAATTTTTTTTTTTTTGTTTCTTCATGAACATATGTAAAGATATAAAATTTTTTCTGAAATAGGTAGGAAAGTCGTGTAAGTGGACACAACAGATGTTTTTCATAGATACAGCACATGTTTATCTCACTCGTTCGTTTATCTTTTACACAGTTGTAAATTTATAAATAAATAAATAAAACTAGTTAATATTTGTTCATTTATTTTATTTTCAGTGTGAATATTTGCAATACTGTGAAGCCAGGTTGTAAGTACTGTACGAATCTGTAATTTGTAAATGCATTCACGGACACAATCAAACCCTTCTTACTAAATGGCGCTAGCCGAGGATATGATGTGAGCCGTTCTCACACATTTCTCTCCACAAAGCTCCCTTCCTCTCTCATATAGAGTTGGCTTCCTTTGAAGCCTTGTTTTAACTTCTGAGCTTTCTGCCACTCACTTCGCACTTCCTTGGCTAATGATGGCAAAAACCTTCATATCCACTTGTATAATGTTCATATGATGCTTGTTTTTCTCATCTTAATAGCTTCTACTGCCGAAAAATTCGTCTTCTTCTCATTCCCTTCAACTTGTAAGAAGCTGTTTATTGAGCATATAATTAGTTTAAATAATGAATGCATCATTCAAAAAGAACTATTCAAAAATATAAAGGAAGGAGATGGTCCGGGGTTGCGGTCATAAATAGGCTAACTATTTTATTGAAAGCCGACGTTTCGACCCACTTTGCAGGTCTTCATCAGGGAGGTGTGTTCATCTAGGAGTGTTACCACTATTTGGCCTATTTATGACCACAACCCCGGACCATCTCCTTCCTTTATAATGCAACGGTCAACTATTAAATATTCAATATTCAAAAATATATTAAGGGTATGAGCCTACTTATTTATGACAGGAATCCTAAATTTAATTTAAGAACAGATGTATTAGAAGGTTATACAGAATTAAGGAATTATCGTAATAATCGTCTTATAGGGCTGCAAAACTTTTTTTAATTCTCTCTCATCACGTATTATCTATTGGGAATGATCGGTATGCTGGATCATTTAGCATCTCAACATTCAGTTGAGCATCTGTACAGTTTTATCGTATCTCTTTCTAATTGTATTTTTATTTCTTGCTCTTTAAAACTACCTAGGTATTTTCAGTTTGTGTGAATATTTTTTATGTGTTATTACATATCATTATTGGAAACTAATATTTCAATGGTTGAAGTTAAATTTTCCATTTTTCATGGAGGTTCGGAATAACCGAAATTGGTTTGATAAAATATAATATGGTTTGGCCAGTCTTGGAGTTCGGAGCGGTTTCAGAGGTTCAGGTTCAAGTCGTTTGTGGACGCTAATAGGAGTTAAAGGAAACATCTCCACCGTGACAATTATGGCAATTTTCGCTTCCTTCAGTTTCTCTATACGTTGAAATAGTTTCACCAAAGTGGTTCAACCGAGACTATCGTGGCGGAAATGCCGTCGGGAAGAATAAAAAGGGAGCGGAATAGCTCAAGAAATTCTTCAATGGTGACTACAGTTGAAGCGATTAGGATAATTGGTAGCAGGAACGGAGGCTGCTTGGAGTTTTTCTCTTCTAGCCTATTAGCATCTAGTAATTTAGGCCATTGCCCGTGGTGCCTCTATCGCAGTCTGTGGAAATGTTGTTAGTGCGTCGTTAATCTTGAAACGTAGGCCGTCACGATATAATATATATTCGACTAGGACGAAAGCTATGTAAATAAATTACTTTTAACTTTTTTGTAAATATGGATATTTTGGAGTTCTAGCAATGGCCAGATTCTCCACTCTAGTCGTGAGTGTCTGTGACTGTAGCGCTCTTACTCATGGTTTTAAATACCATTGAAGTGGCTGAGGGAGAAGCGTAGGGATCTCCTAAGCCTCGCTTTTTCCTCCACATGTGGGGGGACAAGATTGGTTCGGAGATCACCTGGCTAATTGTAAATAGTGTATAGAGGTATGCTTTACTTTTATTCCTATTTTTACTTACTTATGTGTATATATATATTATTTTATTTTCTCTTTTGTTCTTTTTGTTATTCTTTTGTTATTACTTTATTTATTTATATTTCTGTATATACGGTATGAATGTACTCTCTGAACTCTATTATAAGTGTCCTTAACTGTGACAGATTGTAATATTTCTCAATAAAATGTTTAAATACAAAGTAAAAATAAAGTTATCGTCATTTTTAGAAGAAATTTTAATGTCATATTTTCAACTAATCGTAATTAAGTCTTGGATTGCGGTATCTTGTTAATAATATTCTTTTTATTTTGCATAAAGATTCTTGTAGGAATTATTAAATAGCTTTACTTTCATACTAAAAATAAATCTAAAAAATCTTGCGCGTTTTTAATTTTTGCTTGCAACAAACTCCTAATAAATGAATTCGTGGCATTTAAAAGTTGTTTTATTTTTATTGAATTATCGTCTAAAATTCTATCGAATTATCGTCTCCAAACTTTTCAATCCATTGGCCACATTGACCATCTTCCGGAAAACCTCGACTAAGTTCACGTAAGACTTTGGGATGACCTCTACCCACGACTTGGGATGAAAAACAAAATCTTGTCCAATAAATGACTCTTCTAAGAGAAAAAAAAAACATGTAATAAGAGTTGTAGTAATGTCGTGTGTAATTTGCTTTATTTCATATTTTTAAATAGTTTTTAAAATTTTACAATGCAATAAAAAAAACTTGTGGGCCATAGTTTACATGAATAAATTAATGAAAGTATGAGCTCTTTATAAATTAATCGATATTAAAAAATATCTTGAATACAGAAGTGTAATTTGAAATATAATTTTTTTTTATATTTGTTAATTTCTAAATATTACATTCTGTCACATTTAGGACATTTATAATAGTGTTCAGAGAGCACACTCACACTCTATTTACAATAAGTAAAAATAAATAATACAAAAACTAATAACCATAAAAATAAATGTTGAAATATAATAAATAAATATATATTTTTTTAAAATTCATTCCTACTTATTTGGTATATATCCTATTAATAAAATATTGCTAAGTTTATTATAATTTACGAAATGTATTTTTTTTATTAATACAGTTGTAAATATCATGAATAAATATAAAATAAAAAGTTTATTATCTATTTTGTTTTATTTGGTTCTTTTTAAATTAAACTGTCTTCTGTCTATGTAAGTAATTATTAGGCATTAAGTATAATTATTTATCATCGCCATTTTATTTATGACCAACTCGAATGATCCATTTATTATTATTATTATTATTTTTTTCAACTTATTGGGTAGAAAATTGTCCTAAGCTTCAGGGAAGCCTCGCTAAATTCTAACAGGAGAGTAGATGGGAAATCAGCTTAGGAATTTATGCCGTAATTGAATATTGTGAAAAAAAAAGTGTAATTAAATTCCTTGGCTCTGGTAGGCAGTGGCTTTGAAAATATTCTTGGATTGTTGACTAGCACAAACGCTAACATTGGAATTAATTTTAAACAATTTCGATTTACTAATTTATTTAGAATAATAATGTACTCACTATACTATCTTTTCTATCTATCTTCTATATATCTACTATATAAAGGTGGTATTATGAAACAATATATCTAAATTGGGAAAAAAATTGAAATTATGTTATTCAAGAATATCTAAAAAGTGCTCTGTGGGCTACAATCCTCTTAATAGAATTTATTTGTGATTGGAATTCAATTAATTCGAAATATGTTTATTCATATCCCGATATTATTGTGTTTTTTTCGTGTGTTTTTTGTCAATTTATTTAGTTTTTCTGGTCTTTGATATACAAATTCTTTATTGAATTGATAAATAAACATTTTAACTACCATGCTCTTCAATTAACACGATAATTATTTTTCCTTTGTTTATACATTCGTAAATTTGATATATTAACCAGTGAAATGCA